CCAGAATCTTAAAATCAGGACAGGTATTTTTATGATGATTTCCCAGAATTGGGTTTGCTTCTGTGTGGTATGCAGTGTTTGGAGATGCTGGAAATTTCCACTCAGTAAAATAACCTAGACTATAAGGTGCAGGGTGTATATTGTGAATAAATTATCTGCCATCTATCACTTGCATATAAATAGTGGTATCAGTAATGGTGCCCATGTTGTGTTCGGCTGCAGTCTTAGGCATACTTGCTCGGGAATAAGTACTTTTCTCTTTTATGCTAAGAAATTATGCTATAGATTATACTGTAAATCAACTAAAAAGTGGTAAGAGTCAGTCAACATCTTGTAAGCTCTTATAGATGACTGATAGAAGTTACTTTCAAGAATACATTGCTCATGTCATATTAAACTCAACCAGGACTGAGCAGGTAGGAGTTCTAGGTGACTTTAGCCTGCCATACCGATTCTCTTTAAAAGTAACTTTCCAAGTTCTGCCAATGAGCTGTGGCTTGATGTTTGGCTAATTGTGCAAACCTAGTTTATTACATTCCTTATTTCTCCTAAGTTACAACCTTATTTCTCCTAAGCTACAATCTAGAGGTGATACTGATTTTTTTCACATTTTATTTTGAGAATGGGAGTGCTGGACTAGCAAATAGCTATGAAAGTCACTGAGTGACTTGAGCTAGGGAACATCTACATGGGCCACAAAATCCAGGGCTGCCATGGGGTTTACACCAAACTGCTCCTAAACCTTGGCATTGGCAGGAATGGAGCTCTGGCTGCCCAGTCGGGCCAAACCCAGTTCAGCTCTAGTGGATGGCCACTAGAGCTGCATGTTTTTGTCATGCAGGAGCCATTTCTGACATTCAGGGAAACTGGAGCATTCCGCGACTCTTTTATGCAGGGCAAAACTGCATTAACCAGTTTTACCCCACATTGGGGGTGAGAAGGTTGTGTGCATCATAGGAGTGACTCCTCGCCAATTTGAAGTTTGTGGCCCATGTAGACAAGACCAGTTGTTCACTCGCTTAGACTTGTCTACTTTATAAAGTTTTTTTCACTGGGGTTGGGGTTAGGGTCCAAGTATATTGGATTGAAATAATTGGCATAAAGACAGAATCCAATGATAACCAATAGGGACAAATAACCCCCATGAAAGTGGACAACCTACAAGAGTTAAATGCAGATATGTGGAGGGTCAATTATATAAACAATCCTTATTTCTCGTTTATTCTACCCCACTTCCCCCAAATGCATCTTTCCCTCATGTTCATATACATGGCTTCAAGAAACATAATTAAAATTAAAAAGAAAAATGATTTGTATTAAATTGTAAAAACAGTGGTGAGGTAACATCTTAGGAAATACATTATATGAGGAAGACAAATGTCATGTTAAATGAATTGAATTTGATACCTGATTATAAGTGGCTAATGTATTCTGAAAGAAGACATTTCTTCATGAGCTGAGACTTCAAAAACTCAGTCCCAAACAAACAATATAGGGGGTTCTAGATGCTACACTAAAGCTCCGAGTATTCCTCCCTAATGGCTATATTAACTAGGAATGTGGGGTCCTGGACCATCAACTGCTGAAGAAGGGCTTTTCTGCTTTTTTGTGATTTTCGAACTAACAACCATGTAATAGAGATTACAACATATCAAGGAGATTATTTACAAACAACTGTCAATTTTATTTCCTGAAGCACCAGGTTATATGACCTTTGTCTTGTATATTTATCACAAGTATGCATCATACAACATTCTTCCATTGTAGCTAAAGCTTACCCTATTGATATCCCTACCTTAAGCATGGTTTTTAAGGGAGGTTTATGATTAACTTAATGATATCAAACAAAAGTTCAATTCAGTGCAACAAAATTGTTTAGGAAAGTGCTTAATTTCTGATTAATCCGCAGATCAGATGTGTCATTATGCCACTGATGACTCTGTAACAAACATCGCATACACATTGCAATCCCACATATTTACCATAAAAACATTCTGCACTAAATTCTGCCTACGCTAAATAATTGTTTTGTAGAACATGTCCATGTTTATTGATCAGGTTCCAGATGGTTTGCATTGTGTCCCCCCATCTTGTTTTACTTATTTGAAGATTAAATTTGTATATTTAGTAAGCACTTTGACTTAACAGAAAATATGATTTAAGTATAAAACATGTATAATTAAAATAGGAAAATGTTACACTGAGAATATTTTCATGGGAACACATGACTACGACATATAAAACTCAGGCTTCATTCTATGTAACTAAAGTCTTGCTAGTGCTGCCCAGATGGTTTGAACTGTCCCAGACATCATGGTGAAGAATTCTGTAGCCAAAAACATTTGGAAGACACCAAAAGGCAACTTTTAAATGTGTAGGGGGTTTTTTTTGTGTTTTTTTTTGCTTTGCTTTTCTGAGAACAATTTTTTTTTACTGATAATAGACAAAAAAAATTACATGGATGCTAAACCATTTACAACTACACTGCAAATACTGTTCTGTAGCAAGTTATGTATGCGTTTTTCCCCACCAAAATTTCTCAGAATCCTCTGATTTGCCAATGTTCTAATAACTAATCATTTCTGTACCAACAGCAAGCTTCCACTTAACATACCATATGGATAATTATATACCTTTTATCACTAGGGGCATGTCTAGACTGGCCACAAATCTTGAATCGGCCAGAAGTTGTTCCTAGATGTCCACACAATATTCAGGGACACCTGGTCCCTAACACAGGATAAAACAGGTTAACCTGATTTTAATCCATGTTAACAGAAGTTGAAGAAAGTTTCTGAAACTCTGGAGCAGCCTCACACTTTGGACAAGGATGAACAGCTGGACTGGTTCTAATTCAAACAATCCAGCTATTCACATTGGTCAGTGCTGCCATCCCATTTTCCCTATGCGCCGTGGTGTAGGAAAATGGGATGGTGTAGTATCCGTTAATCTTATTTTCATCATATCTAATAATTAACAGTGAAGGCATTGGTTTTGATATGATTTTAAAACTCTTTGTATGTTTTTTAATTTTGTTTTAAATGTTATAAAGTGTGGTTTTAATGTATATGTGTTATGTTGATAATTTTATGCCTATATTTTGTTTACTTGGTATGTTTTTGTGCTATTCTATTTGGAAACCACCCTGAGTCCCCTAGGGGAGATAGAGCAGTATATAAATAAAGTTTTATATTATTATTATTATTATTATTATTATTATTATTTTGTTAAGGCATTGAATAGCACCTGGTTGTAAGCTGCCTTGAGTCACCTTTGGGTTTGAGAAAGGCAGGATAGAAATATTGAAAATAAAGGAATAAATAAAATCTAAGATGGTCTTTGAAAGTTTTCTCTAGCTTACTGGGCGATACATGATCTAAACCAGAGGTCCTCATACTTTTTAAACAGGGGACCAGTTCAGTGTCCTTCAGACTGTTGATCAAATTCCTATGCACACTGCTTATTTTGAAGTAAAAAACAAAACAAAATGGGAACAAATACAGTATTTAAAATGAAGAACCACTTTAACTCAATGTTATGGAATCCTGGAGCTGCAATTTTATCTTTTGGCAGAAAAGGTGAAACATCTTACAAAATTTTAAATTCCAGGATTCCATAGCATTACACCATGGCAATCAAACTGGTGTCAAACTGCGTTAATTCTGCAGTGTAGATGCACTCTATTTTTCAGCACTTTCACACCCGCATGGGCCCTACACCAGCATCTGCCCCAGCTTGGCCATGTGCAAGTTCTGGCAGCAAAAGGGCCAACCACTTGTGCAGGAGGTGCAGGAAGGCAGTGCTGGGCGAGGAAAGGGGTGAATCCCCCCCCCCCCGGGACTCCAGCACCAGGCAGCAGCTACAGTGCTCCAGATCCATCACTGTTTCCACCTCCTTCGAGGAAGAAAAAGAAAGGGATATAAAAAGGAGAAGATGAGAAAGGGAGAGAAAAAAGAGAGAGGAGAGAGAAAGAGAAAGGAAAATAGAGGGAAAAGGCAGAGAGACTGAAACGGAGAGAGAGAGGGAGAAAAAAGAGAGCTTGAGGGGGAGACAGAAAGAATGAAAGGAGTTCTGCGTTAGCAGAGCCAAGATTGATTCCACTGAGAAGGAAGCCTCCTCCTTGGCGGGCCGGATAAATGCCCTTGGCGGGCTGCATGTGGCCCCTGGGATGTAGTTTGAGGACCCCTGATCTAAACCATGAAAATTCTGACCACAAGAAATAACAATTTTTAAAACTAATTTTTCAGTTAGAATTTTGTTTTTCATATGGAGTGTTTTTCACATGGAGTGTTTACTTCTTCTGGAAAGCTGTTATACAAAATACATGCCTAATTTTCCTCTCAGTAATCAATATGGATCCTCTCAATAACCAATATGTGTTAGGCTTTATGCAGAGGACCAATAGTTCCCTCACTGAAGAAGACATTTCCATGTGACTTTTAAGATACCCTTTTGAAAGCTTGGTCTGTACTAAAAATGAATACACTTCACATAACTTAACTTGGCTTGTTTGGTATCTCTTTCCAAATTGTCCCTAGGTGAGATGTCTCTTAAATATACAACTATTATCTCTTAAATATGCAACAAAAGGTTACTAATCTTGCTTGCGTTGTTGTGTTCTTTCATAAAAATGGCCAGTTTATCCATCTCATCCATGTATTCAGTGGGTTTAAAAATGTTTGATATTCTAATAATAATTTGGGCCTCACTTTCTATTGCGTAGGGATGATTCAGCAAAGCTAATGGTTTTTAATTGCCACTGAGTTTATGAAGGGGAGTTCAACATTGGCGTAACTAGCTTGGATTGTAACAACCAGAGTATATAAGTGCTTAATGTTAATAGACCATTTTGGACTTTTGATGCACTTCCTGCATATTGAATAAAGAATTGCTTCTTAGACAAATGGATATCATTTAAAAGCATTAACTATTCATATTCTTTCCCTGATTTTTCTTTGTCACTGATCCTTTCTCTTTTTCCTTCCCTCCTCTCTCTGCAGGGTACATACCCAGTTACTTAGACAAGGACGAGCTGTGTGTGGTTTGTGGTGACAAAGCCACTGGGTATCACTATCGTTGCATCACTTGTGAAGGCTGCAAGGTAATAATCACTGGAGCAAAAGGTTGGGAGCTGGAAATGATAAGCCAGATCTTTTTCTGAATCCTGGATATTACGTAAAGAAACAGGCTGTTTAGGAAACAACATCTGTTACAGATAAAAATAACATGGCAATACTACTAGTATTTGTTTTGGGGTTTTTAAAAAAAACGGAAATTCATTTTTTTCGGGGTAGAATGAAAAGAAGTTTTGAAAGCATTTTGTGGTCTTATAAATCTTCTAAAAGGTTTATATTTTGGCATATTGGGAAAATATTATGAAAGACTACTCAAGGTCACAGGAATCTAAACCAGATTTGGTGAGATTGTATTCTCCAAGAGAATTTTTGCAGAACTCTCAGACTGCATTGTTCCCAATGGCCACAAATTACCTGGAATTGTTATCAGTTGGAAATTTCCTCCATAACTGTAAATTGTTGCTTTTGAAGGCCTGGTCCAACTCTCGCACTAACATGGCAAAACAAAGACCAGAAATTATTCTTACCAGTTTTTGTTTTTATCTGGGTCTGGAGCATCCTTTTAGTGCAGGGGTCCTCAAACTTTTTTTTAGCTGAAAGCCAGGTCATGGTCCCTCAGACTGTTGGGGGACGGACTATACTTTTTTTAAAAAAACATCAACGAATACCTATACACACTGTACATATCTTATTTGTAGTGCAAAAAGACACGAGATAACAATATAATATTTAAAATGAAGATCAATTTTAACCAGCATAAACTTACCAGTACTTCAATGGGAAGTATGAGCCTGATTTTGGCTGATGAAGGAGTCAAGTTAATGAGGATTGTTGATGTTGTGTGCCTTCAAGTCATTTCAGACTTGCAGTAACCCCAAGTCTAAAGATTAGGGTGGGGGCCAGGTAAATGACCTTAGAGGGCAGCATTTGGCCTGTGCTTAGTTTGGAGACACCCATCTTAGTGTATTTGACAAATTTCTCCCTCCCTCTCTCAATTATCATGTTTACATGGGAAGTTCTGTTGTATTGACTGTAACTGTGTTTTGCTTGCCACCACTCCCATGTTATGTTAATTATAAAATGGAAATATTTAAAAAGTTTACTGGGATGGAACTATCATCATTTTTTTTATCTTTTTTATATTTATATAAGTAGGTGTTGTTGTTGTTTTGAGGTTTTCCATTAGTTGTTGCATTGCTATTCGATAAAACATTTCCCCCAATTAAATGCTTTGAAAGTTGTCTGTTATGACATTCTGTTCACAGCAGTCATTGTATTTCCCCCAATCTGGCTACCAGTATTAAAAAACTCTAAAATTACAACAGCAAAACAACAGAGAGGAAACAACCAGGCACAGATTAACACCTCCCAGCAAGAGATTTTCCCAGGCTCAGGCAGGCCTTCAAATGCTAATGAAGGTGATCAGCTGAAACATTCACACCTACTGCAGCAGGGAAGAGCTCCTTGCCCCACCCCAGCCATTCCACAGATATATAAACCCATTGTCCTAATTCCAACAGACCTCAGTACCTCTGAGGATGCTTGCCATAGATGCAGGCGAAACGTCAGGAGAAATGCCTCTAGAACATGGCTCTATAGCCCGAAAAAACCCACAAGAACCTAGTAATTGTATTTTTCTCCATCAAGAGAAATTTAGTAGTGTTGGTGGCCTTTCTGTCCCTACCATTCCAGCGAAGCTCACCTGGCTATCAATCAGATATGGCATTAACCCCAGGACTGTGGATTTGCAAAAGTATGGAGTAATGGTGTTGTTGTGGCATATGGAAGCCAATACAATTGGCCCTCTATATCCATGAATGTTGTATTCACAGATTCAACCATCCACAGCTTGATTTTTTTTAAAAATCCCTAAAGCATATCATGATTTTTCCATTTGATATAAGGGACCCAATTTTACTATGCCACCGTATGTAGTGGGACTTGTGCATCCATGCATTTTGGTATCAAAGGGGTCCTGGAACCAAACCCCAGCAAATATCAAGGGATCAATGTATAACTCTGTTAACTTTTTGTAGAAGGAAACAGGGAGAGCAAACTAATGTGCCATTTAAGGCCAGAAAGCATATAATAAAGAAAGTATAGAGAGATCACAGTCTGCTCTTTGTTCAGCCCTTGAAGTATGAGTCTAGGTTTGCAATTCCCCTAACTGATGTACCTAGCGATTAATGAAATGCTCTTTTAGCTCAGCGCATGAGAGAAAACAGGATGCCACAAATGTAGGAACAAGAGAAGCTCAGAGAGGAACTCTGAGATGGACTAAATTATAACCTATTGAGCCCAATACATTTTAGGAATTATTTGTAACAGGCCACTTGAATAACAGAACATTTTGTAAATTATAATCTACTCACTACAATGCATTTTTGTAATAGTCCCACTTCAAGAATAAAGATTTTAATGAAAGTGCATTCAGCTGAATAAATTATAATTAAGAAGACAAAGAGGGCCTCTCTCTTCTTTTTGTCTTGTCCATTGCTGTAGTAATTTATGACTGCCAAGTATTGCCATAGCTTCTAATCTCTAATCAAAACCATTATGGAGACTGAAGGGAAAGAGAAGGTTTCGGTTACCTCTTCTGCCGAACTCAATATTCAGAACTCAGATCATTGATCAGATTGTGTTGAAAGCATGTCAGAACTGCCAACTTTGGAAATTTTTCCCTACTGGGAGAATAATAATTGGGTATTATATGCATCTTTTTTAAAAAAATTACTTCAATTTTGAGACTTTTTTGGTAAAAATCTCAAGCTGCCTAACAGTGTTGTCAGCAAAAGTGTCTTGATATGTAGAGGCCCTATTCCTCATCAAGGATTAAGAGAGTGCTGGGTTTTCTTTACATCCCAAGTAAAAAGGCTACACATGTTTACCTTGAGTGAGAAATACAATGAATTGTGTGGACGAAACTTTTCACAAGCGGTCACCAATCAAAATATCCAAGAACTGAATCTTTATGAAATCTATAGTATGAAATCTAATTAAATGTGTGGTGGAGATTGTATGATGCCAAAAGACATGTGCTCTATATCTCCAACAGTTAAATAACTTCCTAGTGTCCAGACTCATTGTTTTCAAGGGTATCCTGAGTAAGTGGTTTGTCTCTTGCTTTCATTAGACAAGGAAATTGACTCATTTCTGCTTTCTGTAAGACAGCTTCTCAAACATATTGTCAATTCTCATTCTAAATTCTTTTCACTTATTGAAGTTAATGTTGTGATCATCATCCAGAAAAAAGAATATATTTATAGAATTTTTGATCAACTTCAACAAGGTGAAGAAGCCAGTACAGACCAATGGGGTGTTTCTTCTGGTTGACAAGCTTTGTTTCTAAAAACATATGAAAAAAATAATAAAATAGGGAGCACTAAACATTTTTATTTTACAGACTTTGTCTACATACCTAACTTATTTAATAGGTGAAGGGGCTCTGGATTTGAGGTCAAGTCATCCAGTGCTGTCAGAATTGCAATTCATGCAAATTATTGTTATTGTTATCATCATCATCATTATCATTAAATGGAGATGGGACTTTACTCGTAAAACAAAACAAAATAGTGTGTCTTACCAAAGCGTACAATCTAAAATATATATGCATATGCACCCAAAGAGAAAGAATAAATAATAAAACTATACAGTATGAACATCTGGTTTCCGGAATTCCAAAATTCAAAAATGTTCATTGCTTTCTGATGGTTCAGTGCACAGAAACTTTGTTTCATGCAGAAAATTATTTAAATGTTTTATAAAATTACTTTCAAATTTTGTGTATAAGCTGTATATGAAACTTAAATGAATTTTCTATTAGACTTGGGCCCAATCTCCAAGGTATCTCATTAAAAACATATATGCAAATTCAAGTATTCCAAAATCTGAAAGAAAGGGGGAAAAAATCCCAAATATAGGCAGTTTAGATAAGGGATACCTCGTGTGTATTTTACAATTGTAAAATAAATTATCTAGATAAAATACAAAAAAAATCGATATAACATAACACAAAGTTTTACATTGAGATTTAACTGTGAAGATGCTCACCCCTCTGAAGAGAGTTCAAAATATTACTGTAAATTCTGCTCTTGGTAAAACTGTCATCCAGACTTTCTAGATCTATACGTGCCTTGATGTCAAACTCTAGTTAAACTTCAGTTTCAAGAAGAAGAGACTATAAATAATGTAACGAAAATGGTAGGCTCCTTTACAGACCTGATTCCTATTGACAGTCCTAAGTACAACAGACTCATCAAATTAATTGTCACCAGTTACTGGTACATAAATTCCATTGATTCTATAGCTCTACTTTAAGTAATAATTTGAAAAGTTTTGATAATCAGGTAAATTAAATTTCAGATCATAAAGTTTTGCATGGTCAACGAAGAGAAAGTTGATGGGTTTACTTTTTTTGGCATTTTTTAACCTAGGGTTTTTTCCGAAGAACAATTCAGAAAAATCTTCACCCAACATACTCCTGTAAATATGAAGGAAAATGTGTGATAGACAAAGTGACAAGAAACCAGTGCCAGGAATGTCGCTTCAAGAAATGCATCTATGTTGGCATGGCAACCGATTGTAAGCATCTTCTTTATCTTACTATGCTGTTTGTTTTCATTTAGGTATGTTTATTTCAGTTCAGGGTAATAACCAGTATTTCCCCCCATTTTACTTCAACAGGCTGGCTGAGAGTGTCGGATATTATGAGCCAGCTCATGTTTTCCACACGGCTTTAATTTTCTATTTATTCTCAGCGGCTAGGCTTTCTTCCGGCCCTAATATCACCATTCTATGTGAAATTAAGGAGATGAATGATTTCTTTCACAAGAGTGGGAGGTTTTTGGAGTGGTGTTTCAAGGGGGGAAAATTATCATGTTTAAAGGTTTGGAAGAATACAAAGTTGGATGCTGTTGTTGCATGAGTCATCCTGCAGTTGTTTGTTGTATTTTTAGCCAGAAACTGAGCACTACTCCATTCCTAAGGAACCGGAGCATATGGCTGCAAGATTAACCCTAAATCAACATGGCTTCTAAGTTTCCCAAGAGATTTTTTCCCAATAGTAACTTTAATTAAACTCTATGCAAGCAACTCAAAAGTAGAATCCAAATTCAAAGCTATTGCTGCTAGTACTTCTTAAAATATCAAGCTGGAATAAGAATGATACGGTTTTCCAGATATTGTTGGACTGTATTTCCCAGAAGTCTTAACCACTGCTTAGACTGTTGGGAATTGGAGTCCAACAGCATCTAAAAGACTTAGTATAGATAACATCTGTCAAACTCAAGGCTTTCAAGCCAGATTGGGCCCTCCGTGTCATTTTATGTGGCTTTCCAGATGCTGGACTCCAACTCCTGTATTTGTCATCATTAGACATCATGACCACAGTTGATGGAAGTTGGGAGACAGTAACATCTGGAAGTCTGCAGTTTGTTATGTTTAGTCAGGAGAGTGAGGTGTGGATTTAGAAACAAGACTTGTGGATATGATGTCTGACTTTAAAAGTGGCATTGGGTCGCAATTCCCATTATCTCTAGTCCTTACAGCAGGTAGTCAAAAGTGATGGGAGTCATCATTCAATGACATCTGGGGATCCAAAAACAAAAAATAAAGAGCACTGACCACTACATAAAAAATTAGTTGGCCCTCTGTACCAATGGATTCTCCATCTATGGATTCAATGGGCCTTTGAAGGCAACCATAACACTTATGTGACTCTCAATGAAAATGAGTTTGACACCACTTGTATAGACTAAGAAGGGTAGCTAGTGAGTAATCCTATTTTTGAACAAAATGGAAGGTAAAAAGCCAGAATACAAGCAAGTTGGAACAGGGTTCACTTAGATCTTTAAAAAAACAAATAAAAAATAACTTGGAATACACAAGTTTCTTTTACCAGACCCATCTTTTCTATAAAACAAAAATGGGTGTGTTCAGAAGGCAATGGTGTTAGATGTTTGGTTCAGAGGTTTGGAGGTCCAGATCATTGTAGATACAATGTCACTGTTTTTGTAACCAAAATGACAATGCATTTTTTTATTGCTTCTCCAATGGTTTGGAGACATTTTTGTCCATTTGGGGAAGATCAGGAAGCACCCTCAGACAGCACGTAGTAGGCCCACAAATGGGATCTAACTGTTTAAAATGTTTAATTGGGACCAAAACAAATTACTTTGCTAAAAATTTTAAGGATATTGCCAGACAGTACAGAAGAGGCTAGTCAAGGCCTGCATGGTCATAACGAATACTTCAAACATAGGATGTACTGTTTCTATGCCTCCTTAAAGGATAAGGCTATCAGTGACTACTATAGTAGTTCTTTCATGTTTGTGGGGGTTAAGAAAGCAGGGTCCCTATTTCTTTCTACCTTAGAAAGCAATGCTTTCTATGTCCTCCGGCACCAGTCTATGTTCAGTTTCTCCCAGAAGGACCTAGAAATGCCTAGGGAGAACTTTTTTTTTTTGCTTGCATGTAGGGAAATAGCAGAGGCAGAGGCAGTGACAAATACAGTAATTTGTGAATAATCAAATTTGAAAGTGATTTATCTCCTCCAGTTTCAATGACAGGACACCCTTCCTTACCAGTTATTGGAAGGGTGGCACCGTTCCCATGTTCTGTTTATTGGAGTACTTATAGATTCTAGAAGATGGTCATTGATTGGCTTGTCTGTATCAAAGCTAATTGCCAATTAGCACTTACAGTCAAGGCCTGCTGAGGTGATTCGCATTGTGTTTTCTTGAACAAAGAAGTCATTGATTTTCTTGCATGGATAGCAACTCATCTGAAGACGAAAGGTTCCTGTTTGCATTGAGGCTTTCTATGTGAGCAGAACCCTAGATTTTCCTTGAATCTTGCTCAGCTGGAGAGAATCCATATTAACAGGAACCTTTCTTTACAAAAGAGGGGGGGGGACAGGGTACTCCAGTGATGGGCAAAGTGGACCATGTGGGATCCCAGAGTATGACCCCTTCCTCTTCCAATTTTTTTACATTTTGCCAACCTCTCGTAGAAGATTAATCTGAAATCCAGGTAAGTACACCCCTAACCGGCAAGAAATATAACAAATGTTCTTCCCATAAGGCCCCAAACCACAAAACAGCTGAAATGACAGCTAGTAATGATCTGACAGTACCCAATTTATTTTCCTTTGTATTGATTCTGCAGAAGATTTTAAGTATGTTTAATTGCTTGTTCTGAAAATTTGCTGAAATCACAGATTTGTAATGCATGTATCAATCTTGGTGATTTGACAATTTGCTTGATTTCAGAGACATGTGTTGCTAAATGACCTACAGGTTTTGCACTTGTCAGTCAAGCTGCTTTCTGCCAGCTCCCAAGATAGATAACCCTAATCCCCAAAAGAGATTACCCAGCCTCAAGAAGTGTTTCCAAATCTATTTTTCTGTAATGTGTCTTTTCCTTGTTAGTGGTGTTGGATGACAGCAAGAGGCTAGCAAAAAGGAAATTGATAGAGGAAAACCGAGAGAAGAGACGTCGGGAAGAGTTGCAGAAAACAGTTGGGATGAAACCTGAGCCAACAGATGAAGAGTGGGAGCTTATAAAAATTGTTACTGAAGCACATGTGGCCACCAATGCACAAGGAAGCCACTGGAAACAGAAAAGGAAATTTCTGGTACGTTCCCAATTGTACAGAACTATTTTTGGTCATATTGACCTACAACTCCTGTCCTCTATTTGCCATATTTCTAAGCAGTCTTTTTTTTTTGAAAAAAATACAAAAGCACTAATATACTCCAGTTATCACTGGCCACTAGATAGGAGTCCTGGATACAGAGGCGGCCCTAGGTAATTTTCAACGGTAAGCAAACAGTATTTTGCCGCCCCCGCCCCCAACCAATCACTGATATATATTTTCTGTTCGTCGTGGTAGTTCTGTGTGCCATATTTAGTTCAGAATGCTCTTTGATTGTAAGTAAACTATACATCCCAGTAACTACAACTCTCATATGTCAAGGTCTATTTTCCCCCAAGAGCGCTTCAAGAGTGCCCCTGGGCAAAATCAACTATACTGCAAATGCTTACTTTGCGTAATGGGTTGAGCTGACCCTGCCTGGGTAGTATAGCCCAGTGCTGAACTGGAAAATTTTCAGTCAACATTATTAACTTCAGTGAAATTACGTAGTTGCAGGGAGGGGAACTAAACAGAAACAGAACATATAATTTAACCAGTTAGATGACCCTCCTACTTATACCTGGGAAACCTGCAATCAGAACATATCTCTTCGCATTTTATTTCCCAACAATAGAGAAGTGAATAGTTTTCTCTCCCAGTTACATAGTGGTCCAATATAGCCATCATTTATGCCACTGATCCCCAAATTCTCATCCTCCAGGTGTTTTGAGCTTCAACTCCAGAATCCTCTGCTGCTTTGGATAATGATCAGGGATTAATAATAAATAATAATAATAAACTTTATTTGCATACTGCCCCATCTCCCCAAAGGGACTCAGGGTTGTTTCCAACATGTAAGGCAAATATTCAGTTGTCAGAAAGAAACCATGCTGACAATTACAGCAAAATAAACACATTCAGCAATATAACACAACCTAATAAACTTAATAGACAAAATAAAACATCATGAATACAAAAAATTCTACTCAAACACATTAAAGATAAAGATATTAAAAACTCATTTCATTGTAGAGGTTTAACAAACCCAAAAGCCAGGGTTACTAAATGGATATGAGCCAACTATAAAAGGGCTGGGCATGGGATAGTGCAAATAGCAAATCATAGGGCCAGGGAAGTGGATGAAGTGCAGGACAGTGTACTATCTGAGTACTCTGATAGTACTCTGATTCTGGGAGTTGAAGTCCAAAACACCTTGAAGACCAGAGTTTGGGAAACAATAACTTTCACAATCGGCCCTTTGTATCTACAGATTCTGCATCCAGAGATTCCACCATTTGTGGCTTTAAAATGTTGAAGAAGAAGAAAACTAATTCAAACCTTGATTTTGCCATTTTGTATAAGCAACATCATTTTGTTATGTCATTATATTTAATGGGACATGAGTATCTATGCATTTTGGTACTCACAGAGGACTCTGGAATTGAATCCCAGTGGAGATCAAGGGTCCACTGTACACAGAGCATGGTCACTGCTACAATATTTTGAAAATTGTTGCTCCAAAAAAGTAACTTTCTCAAGCTCTATATATTATCATTGTACTTGTTTTATTTAATTTCATCACCCTTAGACACCTAGAATACCAGTGGTTAGCCAAAAGGCAACACTAACTTTGATAAATAAGTGTATTCAGTGAGTTTATCAATTGTCATAATGTACTGTAAGTATATATTCATGAATTTTGTTGCCTCAGTTGCAGGTGGTGGATTGTGAGTTTTATATCAGTAGAGTGGTGGATTGACTCTGGATTTTAGTACAAACTTTAAAAGAGATATTCAACATCCTGGTATATAGTCAGACTCTTTGATATCTCATTTAATGTCTGGATTAATTCTAGAATGCATTACTGTCCCACAGTCACTACAGGTGCCACTGAAACACATTTTAATGCCATTCAGATCAGATATCATCATATCTTGTACAGTGAGCTCTGCATAAGAAGCTACTGTGTTTATATGGACAAATGTATTTCAGGTGTTTGTGCAATAAGAGGTTGTTGGTTTTTTTTTTAAAAAAAGGAAAAATCAGAATGAATTAGTATTTGGATACAATGTTGTGTTTCATACAATTGTTGCAACACATAAGCAGCAGTCTTTTTATGGAGTTCCATAGAAGGTGTTGAAGTCTTGGGACTGTCCCCATGTGCAACCTGTTATGCAAACTCTTACAGCAGGTCTTGATATTTTATCAGTTGCAATCAGCAAAACCCAATAATAAAAATATCATCTTAATATGATTTTTAATTTCTCCTCAACAGTAAACATGTTGATGTTCCAAGGGCTTTTTTTCTGGATACGAAAAGTTTGCTTTTAGATAATTTCTAAGCAGAAAAGTCATCATAAGCAACAAGAAAGAAAAATCAGGGTGTTTTGTCACTATCTTCAAATATCCGAGTTATTTTAAAAGTTGGACACATTCGGATTAGAACTTTTGAAATATGTACTGCATTACATTGGTGGCTAGTGGCCCCTGTGTTCATTGGATATGCAGTCTAATCTACATTTTAGTGCAAATTTTGAAACAGATCTGCAAGATGACAAACTCTATCCCCCAAAAGAGTTTCAGGACCTTGGAGAGTTTCTTTTTAAAATGTATCCATAAACCACCTTGCTGACAACAGTCTCACCAGTCTACACATCCATATGGGCATGAATGCTACTTGTTGTTTTTATGAGTCAGAATCTATAATTTTGAAAAAGTATATTAAAAATAAATATATGTATATTTTAAAAATGTAGAAGTAGAAATATTGGGGTGGAAGAACCTGAGAAATTAGTTGGAGAGGATATAGAAAAAGCCTCCTTCCAGGTATGATGGATAATAACCCCTTAATCTCTAGCTCACATGTGGAGCAACAAATTCAGTAAGGCTGATCCAAAACAGCAAAGTTGAACATAAACCTAATGAGCTTGTCACCACTTTGTGGATTTTAAAAAGAAAGAAAACCCATTAGGATAATTAAAGCCTAATAGAATCATAGAATCATAGAGTTGGAAGAGACCTCATGGACCATCCAGTCAACCTCCTCCCAAGAAGAAGGAAACCCCCTGCCAAAATTTATTTCCATTTATGAAATTCTAACACAGTTATAACATAGCATATGAACTTCTCCAGGATTTCTGAAGAGTTCCCACTGATGACCTGAATTCCTGAACTTAAGTTAACCTCCAAAAATCAAATGATCAGTTGTTGAAAAAATATCAGCAATGCTGGTACTTATCTTGTTTCCTTTTCTTATCTGCCAGTGTAGTCCGACTATAGTAATAGCCATTTGCTATTCTGCGCTTTTTGTGAGGTCTAAGAGTTCCTCTAGTCCAGGGGTCCTCAAACTAAGGCCCGGAGGCCAGATACGGCCCTCCAAGGTCATTTACCCGGCCCTCGCTAAGTCTGAAACTACTTGAAAACACACAACAACAGCAACAACTATCCTATCTCATCAGCCAAAATCAGGCCCACACTTCCTACTGAAATACTAATAAGTTTATATTTGTTATAATTGTTCTTCATTTTAATTTTTGTTTTGTTTTTAAGTGTTTCTTGCACTACAAATAAGATATGTGCAGTGTGCATAGGAATTCATTCATGTGTTTTTTTTCAAATTATAATCAGGCCCTCCAACAGTTTGAGGGACTGTGACCTGGCCCCCTGTTTAAAAAGTTTGAGGACCCCTGCTCTAGTCAGATATCAACACCAATACATGCAAACATGAAGGACTTCATCAGACAGTCTTCTGACTCCCTTTCCATGAACTTAGGAAACGGAGCTCCCCGGGAGCCCTATGGAGTCCATCACATGATGTAAGGGCTCTTTTGCTTGGACTTCATGGTGCCCTGTTTCCTAAGCTTATGGAAACAGAGCCCAAAGACTGTCTGATGAAGTCCTTCTTCAAGAGTCTAGTGTTTCCTGACTCCAAACTGGAGAAAGTAAGGGAACACAGGGAGAGGATGGGGAAAGGTGCAGAAAGGGCTTGGGGTGGCTGGCCATCCCACAATATGGGATAAATGATAGGGAATGGGGTAAGATGGTTCCCTTTGCTTTCCCCATCTGATAAAGTTCATACACAAACGGATAGGGTCAGCACTAGATAGTGCTGTAAACTATATTTCAGAGGAAGGCATTGAAGAAACACCTCTGAGTGTTCCTTGCAACAACAAAAAAACCTGGTGAAATTCATGGGGTTGCCATAGATCAACAGACTTGAAGGCATGTGCCTACACACAAAGGCCACAAAGGCTTCTTTTATGACAAAGGAAATGCTAAACATCTTTCCTTCATTTTAGTTTCAGGAGAGAATAAATATTTCTAGGTGGGACAAAGAGGAAAATATATTTTGCCCATCACATGTAGACCCCAAGTCCATTTTTACGGCTCCACAACAATCCTCACATCTATCCCTCCAAAATTTACATTTCAAGAAAACATTTTTGACTACTTCAAAAAAAGAGTCTTGGAGGGGTGTAAATGGCCATTTCATGTCATGAATAAGGGTTATTTCTTCCTAAACACTTCAGGAAGAGAGGACTGTGTGGAGTTAAATCAGGAAGGAGAGACAAAAATAGGTGCAGAATTGCCAGCTATGAGCCCAGTAGGAGAAGGTTTCAAAGCACTGGCTTCTGCAGAGGGCAAAACAGCACACACATACACCTCCACTTTAGGCTTTCAAGTAAAATACTTATTTGATTATACCAATGAGGACTTGCATATCAAAATTTTATAGATATTAAACATTTGTCTTATTTAATTGCTTCTTTTGCACTCTTGAAAATGTAATTTCGCCTGCAGTAGTTTGTTTGATTTTTCTGACATAACCCAGCTATGTAGTGGTGAGCTAAATCAATTTGAACTGTCAGCATTCCAGAAAAGTTTAAGAAGTCATCACATCCATTGCAAATAAACCAATTGCTCACAGTGTTTTTCTTTTCTGTTTTTAGCCAGAGGATATTGGACAAGCACCAATAGTAAATGCCCCAGAAGGCGGGAAAGTAGATTTAGAAGCCTTCAGCCAGTTTACAAAAATTATCACACCAGCAATCACGAGAGTGGTGGATTTTGCCAAAAAGTTGCCTATGTTCTGTGAGGTATGGAATTTTTTTCTTATTGAACTTTTCTTGCTATTTGCTAGCTTTATAAAAATGGAAATATGACATTTGCTTTCTCTAATACAGTTTAAAGTAAGGCAATGAGTAAAAAAAAAAAGCTTGAGCCATATTGAGATGGACCAAGAATTAGTCACACTTACATTCAGCAACATTAAAATCACTGGAACTTAAAAGCAGTCATGACATAAGTTGTTGGACCAATAAGATGAATTCATAGTTTGATGTGGGCACCCATGCTAAGATGTAAACACCTATAATTTCCTCACCTCCTTTTCCCCATTTCACTCACTACAACCACCTAAAAAAGCTCTAGAGAGAGCCACCAAAGGTTGTGAGGTGCATCTTTCCCCCTATTTGTGTGCAAATTTCTATGGAGGGAACTTCCTTCAAACTCCTATATTATATCCTGTCTTATATTTCATGGCCTCAACCTTCTCTTTAGTTTTTTAATTCCAGAGGAAACAAATGCCATAGGGAGTACATTTCTTCAAACCTGTGTTGTGTATCAAAATTTTCACATTCAGCATAGCTGAATAAAAGCCAAAAAACCTGAAACAGCATGTCATTTAAACTCTAAAATTCAGGTGCTATAGTGTGACACCCCTTCATTGGCACACCCTGTGGCACATCAAAATTTGGATCCTTAAGGGAAGTGCTAACAGAGGAACAAGTGGAAAAATATTGGTTAATTCCATGCCACCTGTTACCTGGAGGTTCATGGAGCCAAGACATTAGGGAAGGATAGACTTGCACAACTGCCTGTGAGATAACTAATTGCCCATGCTAGTGCTTTTATGATTCTTTGGATATACTAACACCACATCACCAAAGCCAGACATTCAATGAAACAGGCAGCCAAGCTGGTAGACTTCTGCCATCACTACAACAATCTTTCCCTCCCTGTTTCCTTGCTGTTTTTGTCAACCTAATCTGATCCTAGTCTAAATTTAAAGACTCCACTATAAAAATATTAAAACAACTCACACACAACTTGTCTTTGTTTCCATGGAAAAACTGAAATTTTCCTAGAATAAAAATAGACTAGAATAACCCATCTTTCATGTATTGTTTTTGTATGATGTAATAAAGTTATTTTGATGACCAACCATGGAATAATGAGACCAGACACAGACAGTTGGGTTAAACAAATGCCACTTTATTGACCTAGAACCTATAAATTCAGTACAGTGAACCTGAAAAGGAGCAACAGAGATGAGCAACCTGATGTGGGCTCAGCTGAAGCCAAGTGTCTCCCCTTGACTACCTCTTTACCTTCCCTTCTGGCCGAATACTAACAGAATAATTGGTTTGCTTCATGGCCTTGTAGGCAAATACAGGGCACTCTTCTCTTGCCAGTCCCTCAAGCCCATGTTTCTTACTATACCTTGCTCAAAGGTAGACTCCTTTTCACCCCCATGTGTTGAGACCTAAACAGCTGTTCAAGAGTCCTACTGGCATCAAAAGAGTGCCTAGGTGCACACCAAAACTCATATTCTGGCACTGGCAAGGGGCTTTTAGTTTTTTCCTTCAGCCAGACCACTCCCAGGAATAGCATATTTCCTTCCTCAGAAAGATGTACACCATTTGCTCTGTAGAGCTCTGGGCATTGAAAACTTAAGTTGGGATGTGGAAGAAAGTGTCCAAAAAATCAAAACAAAAGAATAAATGAGCTTGCATTGCAGAGAAAATGATACAATTTGTCTCATTTATTGTACAAAGACAGAACAAGTACTCACATGTTGCCCATGCATTAATCCTACCTCATTTTTGACATGACAAAACATTTCACTTATCTCTAGTTGTAAGGAAAATCCACAGGTCCCAAGTTTGATAGAGAAGAGAAATAGAGAGGATGCACGGGATGTAGTTTGCAAAGATGTAGTTTCCAATACTTTACCAACAGTTCTAACCACTTACCTGCAATTATCCTATACAAAAAGAAAAAGAAAAGGATTTGACTGGTACAGTTTGGCTACTGTCTAGTTAAGGTATGTTAACCAGCCATTTGGGCCCTTCATCCTCTTTTTATCCTGCATACATAAACATCTCAAATACTACTCCTTCCTACCAATATGATCAGAAACTCATAGCCTCACCCAAACTGAGGCTGAAAAACATGTGAAACCTCAAAAGGTGCTGGATCTGAATTCCTATAATCCTTTACCATTGGCTATGCTGGCTGGGACAGTCAGAATTTGGACACCTGAGGGGCATCTACACTGTAGAATTAATGCAGTTTGATGCTGTCTTAACTACCATGGTACAATGTTATGGAATCCTGGGATTTGTAGATGTATAGTTTGGTGAGGCACCAGCACTCGATGACAAAGGAGATTAAAGACCCTGTAAAATTACAACCCCTGTGATTCCAAAGCATACGGCAATGGCAGCTAAAGTGGTGTCAAACTGCATTAATTCTATTGTAGATTCACCCTGATTTACAAGGAATTTTCCTTTCAAAGCCGATAATTCTAGGTAACTGGATTAGATTTAGTTCTTTTGTCCCTCTATGCTTTTAAGCCATCACCCCTATTTTCTTTTTTTATGAGAGACAGCACCACTTCCTTTAGCAATGGAAATACCTGGATTTCCCTGTGATTCCAGTTCTGCCTAAACTATTCAGTCTGATGCAGGGGAATCCAATGATGTAGGATCAGTTAGCCTTCCCATGAATTTACTGCATCTAAAGTTGGCAACTGGGGGTGGGAGAATGAGGAGATGACAGTACAATCAATGTCAGTTTTTGTTTTCTAATAATGACATTTTAAAAACTCTTTCTGCCCCTTGGAGCGTTGCTTTCAGTTCTGCTAAGGCAAGATCCCATTGCCCTCTCAGAATGCTTTTTGTCAAGATTAAATATAATCATTATGTCAGGGCTATAAATATGACTCCCCGCCCCCATCTCTGGCACAGCTCATGACTCAAAATAAAATAAGTTGAAGTGAAGCCAACACAAAGCAGATTTTTGTCTCAGCAACTGCCATACAGGATTTGTGAAGTTAATACCTAAAAACAGGATGGACTTCCTACCTTGAAGAATTAACTCTGGACAATGGACTCTGGGAGGTAGTGGAAAGATTAATTTAATAGCATCTCTTGCTGTTGTTAATTTAAAATACTGAATGGTAATAGCTTCATTGAGTAAGGTAGATGGCTTTTTTTGAAACCTGCCTTTTGAGGGTAACATTTATTGTACCTCTGTTCCAGACCTTTTACAAAAGTTGGTATTAATAATTACACTTATGATTATGATCAAAATTTAATTATAATTATAATTATGATTACTACAGCCCCCAAATTTGGGCACTGTACTGGCTGGATTCTGAGAGTTGTTGTAACTCTCCTTTTCTGGTTGGAAGGTGCCATGTGGATGTCATCATCAAGATGACGTTGCCAGGGAAGGAAAGAAATGATGAGTACTTTGTGGTGCACAGCTTCCAGAGCTATCAGTCAAAAGGCTTTGGGCAATTGTTCCATCTTGTCCATATAAACAGATTTTCTTCTGGGCGAAAAGAAGGAGGAAGTGTGGAGAGAGGCACAGGGGGGTTATAAGTGGAAATCGTCGTCTTCCGGAGTTCTATAAAATTCCAGGAATGGTGCAGGATGATTATGCAATAAAAAGTCTTCCTGGGAAGCACAAAAATATAGGAATTTGGATTTTATGGTGGGTTGGCAACTTGGAAAGTCCTACTGTACCAGGGAAAATTTATTCTCATTTGCCATTCTTTTCAGCTGCCATGTGAAGACCAGATAATCCTTCTGAAAGGCTGTTGCATGGAGATCATGTCCCTCAGAGCAGCAGTACGTTATGACCCTGAAAGTGAGACTTTAACATTGAATGGGGAGATTGCGGTGACAAGGGGCCAACTGAAAAATGGGGGTCTTGGCGTAGTATCAGATGCCATTTTCGACCTGGGCATGTCACTATCATCATTCAACCTCGATGACACGGAAGTTGCCCTCCTTCAAGCTGTACTGCTGATGTCTTCAGGTAGGCAAGAAATCTTTCCCTCTTCATCATGAATCCACTTGCCAAATTAAAAGAGACTCTGTGGTTTCTTCTCAGAAGAAGGAATTCTGTTTAGAACATGCTCAGAAAAGTTACAATTGAAATCCCATTTGGAAGCCTATAGTTTCTAGGAGCATGTTTCAGGAGTAAGAGCAGGTCACCCTTGTCAAAGATAAAAAAGAAGGGCCCTCCCTAGGGTGTAGTTGTGTTGAGGTGCAAAATGAAGACATTTCCCCACTGCTAAGAATTCATTCCCCCCCCCCCCAGTTTAGTTTTCTTCCGTTTCCAAATGTCTTGGATTGCAGAGAATGGGTCATTGAAATCCATTCAGACCTAGCATTCTTCAATGCTTGACTGAGGTTTTAAGTTGCTACAGCACTAGAAATTTGGAGAATGAGGAATTTGAAAGGCAATGCACTCATTTGATGCTCTCCATAGCTACATCCCTTATCTCTTCTCAAAGACAGGAATCTGACCTTGTAACTGGATTCTTACAAGACTGTTAGTGTGAAAACCTCTTCCTCTCTTGGATAATGTGAGAGTGTGCATGCAGAAGTAGATCAGGGAAGACCTGGATCTACAGAATCCAAAGTCCCATTTCTCTGCCATGCCCCTAAACTGGCATCCAAACACTGGATCATAATTAATAGTTCAGTGGTAACTTTGAAGTGCAAGACCTCAGAAGAACAATCTGCATAGTCATGCCCTGGCCGAGAGATCAAATGTTCTGGTGATTATTTCTAGAAGTGTCCATCTCGACCAGGAAAGGGGTCTTTTGTACAGCGACCCCAAATATTTCAGATTAAAATTGGGACTCTACATAAATAGGGCCCCCTGGTGGCACAGCAGGTTCAACTGTTGAGCTGCTGAACTTGCTGACTGAACGGTTGGCTGTTCGAATCCAAGGAGTGGGGTCAGCTCCCGCTGTTAGCCCCAGCTTCTGCCAACCTAGCAGTTTGAAAACGTTCAAATGTGAGTAGATCAATAGATACCACTTCTGCAGGAAGGTAATGGCACTCCATGTAGTCATGCCAGCCACATGACCTTAGAAGTGTCTATGGACAACTCCAACTCTTTGCCTTAGAAATGGAGATGAGCACTACCCTGCAGAGTCAGAGATGACTAGACTTAATGTCAGGGGAAACCTTTACCTTTGCCTTACTACATAAATATAGATAATTTCCCTTCCAGTTGCTTTGGGGATTGAAAAGAGAAAAGGGGAGCCTAAGGGGGTGGCAGGTGGCACCATGCTCTCTAATTTTTAAAAAGCCACAGGGCTTCAATATAGTGAGCTCTGATACATTTCAGAGCTAACACATATTTAAATTCCATCCAGTTGGAAAGATAGTGAGAAAATCAAGAGTAGAACCCGAGGTAACAGCCTTCCCTACTGCCAATGCAAACTTGTCAAAGCACAAGAAAATTTATTATTATTTATTTACTGCATTTCTATATCGCTTTTCTCACCTCTAAGGGGACTGAAAGCAGTGTCCAACATAATAATAGCAGAATTAAATGCCAAACATACATGTGAAAACTAAAGTGTAGTATCTAAACAATGGCATATAACTATAAATTAAAATCATTAACCATATTAAAACATGAAACATCAATGAACAATTAGACATTAAAACATAGAATTAAAACATCTTTGTATAAACATTAAAATCACATAATCCAAAATTGTAATCCAAAGCCATTCCAATTGTCAATTGCACATATCCCCTTATTCATTTCTTGCGCTGCATTACTTTACTGACCAAAAGCTTGGTCCCACTGCCATGTCTTTGCTTTCTTTCTGAAGGCCAAGAGGGAGGTCGCTGATCTAATTTCACTAGGGAGGGAGTTGAAGGGCCACCACTGAGAAGGCCCTGTCTCTTGTCCCCACCAGCTGCACCTGCAAAGAAGGTGGGATCGAGAGCAGGGCCTCCCCAGAAGATCTTAACCTCCATTAAGAAAAGGCAGTTTGCCCATTTTGGATCCTCTTTCTTCCTATAGGATTGTTCTGTAAGAACATCTATTGAGCTTCTATTAAATGCTTCAGGATTGTTGTGCCATGCTGGTCCTGTATTGGGAAATATAAGGGAACCCAGACACTCAGCAGAAATTCTCAGATTAGTCTGAGTTCTCTAGAAGGAACTTTTTTGTGGCAAATTGAAATGATATGACTAAATAACATTCATTTTCCATCTAAATTTCACAGATCGCCCAGGTCTCGTCAGCGTCGAACGAATAGAAAAGTGTCAAGAAGGCTTCCTCCTGGCATTTGAACACTACATTAATTACAGAAAGCACCACATTGCACACTTTTGGCCAAAACTGCTGATGAAAGTGACGGACCTACGAATGATTGGAGCCTGTCACGCTAGCCGCTTCCTGCACATGAAGGTGGAATGCCCAACAGAACTCTTTCCCCCTTTGTTCTTGGAAGTTTTTGAGGATTAAAAGACTGAAGAGGTTCTCAGAGTTCTTATAGCACTACTGGGTGTCATTTCATTCCATTGCCTAGTGTTTCTCCCCCCACTCATCCACCCACCTTACCCCATGGTCCATTCCCATTTTTGTTCCACCTTGTTTTTGGTTGGAGAATTGTTTTTAATAGGCACGAATGAATATCTCCCTTCAAAGCGGGTACTTGTGACAGTTGCATTTTTCTGTATTTGTGTGTGTGTGTGTATATTTCAGTCCTTTTGATGTGAATCCTTGGAGAGTTTGAGAATGAGAATTTAAGTGAATCAGTTTCATCCACCAGCACTCAGGCAATCACAAGCTCACGCTCATTGCTGTTTGGAGATAGATGATGAAGTACGATGATGTGTCAGAAAGGTGAATAGATAATCAGATACTAATTTTTTTAAAAACTGCCATATTTTATACAGTATTAAGTCAATTTCAGGAAATGAGACATCCTTGATGAGGTATTCAGAACAATCTAACAAGTGTTAGTCCTGCCCAGGTCCAGCTGAAATCAAAAGGATGTGCAGTGCAATCCTATACACATCTGCACAGAAATCAGCCATATTGAGTTCACTGGGACATTTCCCAGAATTATCTATATAGGATTGCAGCCTTAGCCTTGCCTAACTTTCACTTGATCATGCTGATGATTTCTAAACTTTCTTGGTACTGCTTAATGTCCATTTAGGCAACGCCTTCTATCTATCTACCATAATTGCATCATTACTTTGAAAAAAATCAGATTTTTTTACACCTTTCAGTCTTCTTAAAAATGTAGTAAATCAACAATACTCCAAAATGTGGACAAAATCTCCTATTTGCTTCTGTTGTCCATATTTTATCTGGGGCATAAATGTGTGGAAGGCAGGCCTGCAAGAATACAAACTGACAGTCTGATTCTACATTGTACCAAGTCTCCTTAAACCAATTTGACTTCACGTTAGAACATAGAGAAAGATGTCACATTCATCATTCAGTGTGCTTTTTTTCTTGTTGTAACCTGATGGCTTTGGCTTCAATCCATTCATTTCTCATTGGTGTCGAAATCTGATAGGCACACAGACAATTCCATCCCATACACATACAGGCTTAGTAGAGCTCGTATGGCTTCCAGGTCTTTGGCTTTGTGCAATTTAAAGATTAAAGGCAATATTTACTCTGAAAGTGCAAAACACGTAAATGAAACCAGAATAGAACAAAGTACAAAAAGTGTACTAGAAAAACATGATAGACCACCATTTTTATTCCAGCACTACTGCTTTATTCAAACAACATGTCACATTCTCATAATCACTATGCTGGCTTACCAACCATTTGTAGTGACTCTTTAAAAATGATCATGGATGTATCACTGAGATGATGAAATTGTCATCTGAATTCTCCATAGGCCAAGGTCTGAAGATGATGTATATTAGTCAGCTAGGTAGAGATTCGGGCCAATGGGATTATATGAATCCATTATAGTAATTAGAAAGCAAAATTATCCATAAATGGTTGAAGATTGTACAGATCCAGATGCCATTAATTGTTTAATTTATTTTCTCATGATGATAATTTTGATGCACTGGGCAGGGAGAGATTTGTTATTGAGGAACTAAATAGTAACAAGGTAGAATTAAACTGGAATCATGGCACCAGTGTGCTTGGAAAGCTTTAGGAGACCTATCATTTCCTCTTTGCTACAAATTGTTCCCATGTTCGTGTTGTATATTAGAACAGACCTCCTTCCGAGAGGGCAGACCTCAGCTAATGTTGCTTATTTTTTAAGACATGAGTTGTGAACCCTCTCTTCTATGCATTGACATATCAGTAATCCAAAGCCAAGCTCCAAGAAACTGGGGCTCCTTGCAACTAAAGAGTTTGGGGCTTTGGTTACTCTCTCAACAATTCACATGGCATGTTTGTGGCAAATTTTGCCATTAAAAAGAGCTCAAGAAGCAGGATGTGCTGTCACAATGACATCTGTTATTTAAAGAAACATTCCAGAGTAGAAAGCCTTGGGTACACCCATGGACATCTTTGGAAACTAAAGTTACATTATTTATCCATGCAAAAAACCTGTATCCAGGTAGACTGCCACTGTGGGCCAGATAAGAATGGTAAAGTCCTTTTTACCCACACCTATCTATTAGGAAGGGAAATCTTTTGAATCCTCATATACCCAATTATCATCCAATCTGCTTTGCTGATGTGCATGTTCCTATGTGTGGGCTTTACCTAAGAACATGGCTTTGTGTTTATTCTTACTGGGTTGGTTTCAGATTTAGTCATACTTAGAGCAGACACAGTGAAATCGGTGGGACTTGTTATATTTTTTTTCAATTATTAATTCTAGACCTGCTTAAATCTAGATCAGTGGTTCTCAACCTGTAGGTCCTCAGATGTTTTGGCCTACAACTCCCAGAAATCCCAGCCAGTTTACCAACTGTTAGGATTTCTGGGAGTTGAAGGCCAAAACATTTGGAGACTCACAGGTTGAGAACCTCTGATCTAGATTAATCATAATGATCTCAATTATTTAAATATGCCTGATTTGTGACCTATGTAAGTAAATGCCAAGTCATGTCCAAATATTATTCTAGATGAGTGGACTACTGTGGTTTTCCAGGTGTTTTGGCATTCACTTTTAGTCAGACCTAGCTATCTGAGCCTGTGGGGGGGGGGGGCAACTGCAGGCTCCAAACATCTAGAGGGCCTCAGATGACCATCCCTCATCCAGAGGAAGGGTTGGACAATGCTTGAAATGCTTTCAGAGAAACTAGAGTTTGCATGTTGACTTCATTAAAAAAAATTAAGCCCATACTTCAAAAAACTTTTGCTTATATTCATAATTTAGTGGGAGAAAAATACAATATGTGAGACTGTTGAAGCAGACATATAAACTGTGTGCAGCAAAATAACTTGTTGACCAATGTCAATGAGAAGACAGTTTTTGATATTTGATACAGAGCTTTGAGAAGGCAGATTAGAATATAATAAAAGGCCTATATTGGGTTTATCAAAACTTCTTTGTGGGACATATTTCCCCCAAAGAGTTCTGCTCATAGGTGAAACGTTTGATGAAGCTCTGCAGGTTGAAAATGGTGGCTGATTGTCCAGATATCACTATATAAATAGTCAATTCTCAGAGAGAGAAGTATAGGCTCAAGGGAGATAATTGCAAGTTTTTGTGAGGCCCCCCATAAAGATATGCAAGATTTCAAATAAACTTTCACTAGTTGAAGTTTTAAAAATATAAAAATATAATTGGGTCAACTCAGGGAGCTTTCTTAAAATGATCAAATGTATAAATTAGATCAACAAACTACCCAGGCACAAACATCTGTGAGCCATCTGCCTTTTGCAATACTAATGACAAATATATAAGTTGTAACTGACTCTCATAGTAGCACTTCAGTTGTACTACTTTTTTTAGTAAGTAGGAGACTCAAAATGCTACAGTATAAGCTTCATAAATTTGTTCATTACAGATCCTGTTGAAATAGATGTGGCAAGAAAGAATAGTACTCAGAGTGTGTCTATACAACTAGCTGCTAATATTTCCTTATGGAAGATACAGAGTCAACACAGGGCTTGGGAAAAGTTTCTATTTAGACTACAATTTTCAGAATTCCAAAGGCCATGTCAGCTGAGGATTCTGGAAATTGAAATCCAACAACAGCAACAAAAATTGCAGACCGCTTCAGGCCTTTTTTCACCCTGTCATTTTCTCCTCTCTTTATCACTACCCCTATTTTGAGCCATGATCATATCTTAGCTTTTGTAATATTTTTAGACGATTATGATTAATTTTGTGCCTGTGTGCCCAAACTCCTTTTGACTGAAATTAATTTGCTTGTTGCTTTCTACAGATATTAATTTGGGATAGCTAGCAATACCATAACCCCAAATATATAACAATCTAATACTGAGATTTCACTTTTCCTGTTTTTGGGGAGCTTGGTGAATTCCATTAAACATTTTAGAAAAATAGTTACTAATTAATGCCGTCATTCTCTGAATTCAGCATTAATTAGTACTGATTTGGACACAAGCTCCACAAGGCAATATGTGTGTACATTTATGTGCAGAAAATGTGTAATAGTTAATACAGGGATAATAAGGGACAAAACTGGCACAGATTAGAGATGTCAGAAGCGTTGATCTGAATTCACCCTCAGTAGTTTGCAAGCTTCAGTTCAGCTATTTCTCTTAAAAGTTTTTGGTATCTGCTCTAAACACCTTACTTTAAAGTAAATAAGTTGGGAAGACCTGCAATTGGATTTTTCATCTTTTTTAAAAAAATATTTTTAAAGCAGCTGCAGTTGTGAAGAAAATTCAGTGATGACCATTATACTTATTATTATATAATTCATTATTATGAATTAAAGGAAGGCTTTAATTCATGCAATCAATATTCTTGATCTATCCTGCTGCCCATCTATTTCCTCAGTAGGGAAAAATATTGAGATATTAGGTTTTTCTAACAGGGCATGGGAACAGCATGAGGGGAGCCTTTTTGTATCAGACTACAGGGATAATCTGTTGTAAAAACTAGAGAAACACCCCTTGTTATTTTGATGTTGATCAAATCTTCCTTTTTTCATCTCATGGCTGCAATCCTATATTCTTTCTATAAATGTTTATAGGAGTGCAACCTTAAAAAATGAAGGGGGGTGTCTGGAAATGTCTCTTTAATATCTCACTTTGGCCCAGAGCATTCACTGAAATTATTGAGGCTTTTTCAAAATTGCAGTACAGAGAATTCTATGCAACAGTTCTTGTCATTGAAAGAATGAAATGTTTGGAGTCATATTACACAACCCAACAAAAAGAAATCTTGCTGTCTTGGTGTTTATGGACTCTTCCTGGGATTATTTTGGGGTGCTGATTCAGAAAATTGCATTGGATAGACTTCATCAGTTCTAGTTTCTTAGATATAGTTTTCATGATTTTCTGTGGGCAAGGAGATGGCAACTAGTAGATAGCATGTGCTCAATATCCCAAAACCTAGACATGATAGGGGAAACTGGCTCCATTTTTGTCATCAACAGGTCAGATTTACCCAGAAACGGCTCTAACATTTCAGGCACCAGTGATTGGCCAGTGATTGGGTATAATACAAGTGGAGCTTCATAGCTTTTTGTGCTGTTTCAACCACAGCTAGGTATCTGCTCTCAGCCAACAATTATGGAAGCATGTCTCAAATTCCCATGGACTGTTCCCATCTTAGACAAGAAAAAGAAGTCATTTCACACACAAGAACATTTGTTGACACAACTTCATATGCTTTGTACAATGATATGATATGTTGGTAGGCACTTAAACTGTGTTAGTCCTTTGCTATTCGGTATCCTGAAAACTAAACCACAATTTAAACAAAAGTATAAGGAATATAGTTGTTCAGCAAAGCATGCTGTGCGACAGAACACTTGCTCACAAAGGTGAATTTCTGTGAGTCATCCATCACATCTCAATAGCCATTTTTCATTTCTCGGAGGCTTGGAAAATGGAAATATGTTCAGATTTTAGTCACTCCAATTTTACATTTGTAACCTCACTGACTTTCAGTGGTTTCACTGACCATTTACACCAGAGGGAGAAAGAGAGCAAGCAGAACTGGGACTTGTGCTTGAATTGAATCCTTCAGATATGTCTTTTTATCACAACAAAGTTCCAAGTCCTGTTTAAAGGTGGTATATTATCTGTAAGATTTATCAAATCATGGATACTATTTTTGAGTAGTGGACTTCAGCATAACTGCTCATTGTGGTAAGGCCTATGTCCAAGATTTATTCTACATGGAGTGGGTCTTTATTACTCTCACAACAGATCTGAGTTTTTACTCCACAACATTAGTTCAGCTTGTTTATGGTGCTACATGGCTCTCAATTTTGCTTTCTGCTCTAGGTGTAGTAGCAGTGGAATGTTCTAAATACGATTTTGCTGTTCCTTATTTTTTACAAAACGGATATCTCATTTCTTAATGTTTCTTGCTCTAAACAACAGGTATTTAAGCTGCACTGGTTTTATGTCTCAACCGAGTTCAGTAATTTCTTGTCGATGTATTTTACAGTGAGATGATCCATTTTCTAAAAGCATTCAACAACACTGTGCCAAAATATAGGTGTCAGAGTTAGACCTTGGACCTTTGTGATGATCTTTGTGCTATAAAATTTCTCCAACTGCAGCACGGAAGGAAAGAAGCAAACAAAACAGGGTCACAAAGAAGGGGATTGTTTTGCAAACCTGCTGAGTCAATACTATTGACCACAGGAAGAGCATGATGTTGCTAGTGACAAATGTTATGCCATGGAACTCTTAACACGTAGGTGTCATATTGACGTGCTGCATATAAACCATAAGCAAAAGCAACCAGTCATGGTTTTCAGATGTAGCCAGTGTTTGTAAGGCTAACCCTTTTTCCCTCATCAGCAATTAAGAGTCAAAATCAAGGGAGATCCATTAAGTCTAGCTTTCACTGAAAGCCAGGGTTGTCCATGTAAAAAGAATTATGACTGACAGGGTCAGCAACATCTGGATTTATTTCCCAGCTCTGCTAAGGACCTATTGAGTGACTTTGGGCGAGTCACTATATCTCAGCCTTATATTCCAGAAGAGTCCCTTGCCTCACCCAGTTGAGGTCAATGAGACAAACATTGTAAACACTGTGTTTTTGTTCATGATATCTTAAGAAATAAGTGTTCTTTGCCTGCCTTTTTGCAACATTGGAAACAGCAAGACATACAGGAGAAGCTCTGGTTTGTCCTGTTGTAATTTTATGCAGATAACTAGATTTATCAGATATTTCCTTTTGATACTACTATGATATGACCCTTATATAAATTTTTATAGAAACACGACATCCTAGAGTGGTAGAGGTTTATTTTCCATGTAAAAGATTCAAAACAAAGTGAGCACATTTATTTTGAAATGAAACGATACTGCTTTTTTAATGAAACACACCAAAAAAATCAATTCACAATGACAAAAAAAGGTTTAGCCTTTCTCACAAAGTTTTTACTGTGTTGTATAAATGTTAGCCAATGCAAAGTCTGCATTGCTTGTGTGTATTGATCCACATTCAATGATGTCGCCTTCAAAAGCAATATTGTGCAGGTATTAAGCTGTTTGTGACTGTCTATTTGCACAGTTTACCTAACTTTAATAAAGCTAACCCTTATTTATGCACAAGACAATCAAATGTAAATCTACATCCCAGTGTAGATGGAATTGATGTAAATTACTGAGCACAATGTAAAACATTAAAAAGACACTTTATTTAATTTCACAACTGAACTAGTGTTAGATAAGAACATATCAGGGCATGAATGAGTGACTCTTTCTTCCTTTTACTTTTTTTTGTTTGTTTGTTTCCTTATGTCTCCATTTCTAAACTCTTAAAAATGACTTCATTTGTTTTTCCTGCCATAATACTCTGTTCTTTTCGAAACTGAGAAAAACAGATTCTGCTGGGTTTTGGACTTGGCCTTTTCATTATTTGTATTCATGCCCTGAAACTAAAATTGGAAACTACATGATTTACAAAATTACACAGGCTGAAGATTCTGGGATAGGATTTTCATTTTTTTTCCCCTTTGAAACAGTGTTATGTGATATGCTAGATGGATAATATTTTTCCAGCCTAAACTATATTAAAATATGTGATCACAAATGTTTTAAACTATCTGAAGAGAAAATTTGTATATTTGGGGGAAGAATATAATTTTTACATAGCTTTTGTATGCAGATATTAATATGTAATTATGACTATAGTGGGCATAGATTACTGTGTAAGCTTGAATTCTAAAAAGAAACATCTTATAACTGAATCTTGGTTGATGTCTCTGCTTCTTCTTTTAAGGATTTCTAGCCCAGTTTGTTGCACTTCAGCATTATAGCTTTCTGGGAATTGTTATCATGGATGGGACAGAGTTGTTATCTGCTTGTTTGAATGGTGTCTAGTCCTATTATTTTCTCGCATTCAGTTGCAAGTTTTTTTAAAGTCTACATTAATGTTCCAATGGATTTTGATGCTCACTTCCTCCAAAACATTATTTTGTCTAATATCTCAATTTTTACAAGAATTTTCATTTTCTGAATTCGCTATTTTCATGAATTCATTCATTTTTATAGATATGCATCCATTTGGACAACTGCACTGCAAATTTTGAAGTAACATACATACTGAAGGTAATTATTTCAGTTATGCACAGAAAGCTCCCATTTATCAGACGGCACTATCAAAGAAGGAAATTAGTTGAAAAGCAGTACCTGTGCTGGGAACGTATGAGATTTACAGGATCTTGCTTTGACCTGTCTGTATGCTTACATATGCACTACTTGCAAAATCTCTTTGTCATCTGGATGCCTTTCTCCCTCTCTCAGCAAGCCTCTGTAGGCAAGAAAAGATGAAAGAACGGATCCCTCACAAATGAAACTCATTTGTAATTTGAAAGTGTAGAAAGAGCAAGCCATCAGATAAAGATTCATCAGATAACTGTATTGGTTTGAGAAGTGCGAATTAGGGAGATATACATTAAAATTAATTTCACCCCACACAAATAGTGGACTAGTACATCAGGATATTCTGCTTGAATTTAGGGGTTTTAAGCTTCTTGTTCTTCACACACACACACACACACACTAATGATATACCAATTTGTTTTACTGGCTAAAGTGGAACCCAAATGCCTCCTTAGCACCTCTACATCAGCCAGACCCACCTCCTTAAAAGTCTTCCTACATGATTAAGACACCACATTTTGCCCAATCTATCTCTGGCACCTGATGCAGACCTTCACAGCTTCCAAACTGCTTTTCTCAGGATTGGACATCCTTTCAGAGTAGAGTATGCATAAAATACAAGGGGCTGAAGCATCATGGAGGGCTTAAAAGCTAGTGACCATCAACAAATGAACCCATGTTCATTTGAAGTTGCAAGGATAGCTTATGGATCAAGCAGGGAGACACCCTCTACTCACAATTTCAGCTGAGCCATACTATCTATCTAGACACACAATTCATGAGATGCCACTGTGAGATGCCATAGTATCTCAATACGCATGAGCAGCCTCTGGTTTTAACAGAAGGATGCACCTCACTCCCCTAGTATGAGTACCACTGAGTTCTTATCATAATTTGGCTCCTATACAATCCAGGTAGAGTGGAAAACCCAATTACCAGAACTGTATGCTAAGTGGCCACTTGGGATGCACCTTGTATTAGCTATTTCTCCAGTGCAGTGCTTCTTAAACTGTTCTCCTCCAGGTGTTTTGGACTTCAGTTCCCAGAAATCCCAGCCAGCTTACCAACTGTTAGGAATTGTGGGTGCTGAAGTCAAAACATCTGGAGGAGCACAGTTTGAGAAACTTTGCTCCGGTGTATTGGTTCAGAAAGCCTTGGAGCCAAGACAGGAGCCAAGACAGTATGGAAATGGGTGTGCAGGAGCCAGGCATTGAGATAAGAGCCAGTGGGAGTTGCATACTAGATGGTGTCTGCATGTAGAGGATGGATGAAGTTGCCCATGATCACTCATTGCTGCTGCTTCATTCATGGCAGAAAGTGCTGGACACTTCTTTCTCCAAGAATCCCACTGGAGGACCGAGACATACCTAGAGAGGTGTTCTCAGTAGGAAGCACAAGGTTTAGCCTAACTATGATCAACTTCCAACAGAAGCTGACTATAAAGTCTTATAGAAGGAGCTAGAGATTCCTAGAAATAACATTTTAAGCAAATCCACAAACATCAAATTTGCAAATGTGGAGGCCCAGCTGTATAAGAAATGTTTACACACAGTGTATTTCATGATATATTAACAGTAAGCCTATCCACGCATACATAAGAGCTCTATTGTGCTTGATAGGATTGTAGTACTAGATAATAGTGTACATAATTGCAGTCAATTGCTTTCTCATAAGCTAAAAATATACCAAAGAAGTCATTGACAACATAGAAATTCATTAAGCTTTGGTATAATAAGCATGATATCCTGGGAGTAATATTTTCTTCTGTGCACTCTAAATGGTAAATAAACCACTTGAGGAATATTTAAGCTATTGAAGTCGCCCTAAATGGTTGAGGCATTGTTGCCATTATCCCAGATCCCGAAGTCTTTACAATGGCAAAGTATAAAGAGAAGTGAGCTTGAGCACCAGTACTGTTTGAGAAGGGGCACTTAGCCTTGCTCCCTAACTTTATATAATGCACTCCTAGCTTTGATTACTGAAAGTCATGAAGAACATGATTTAGCTAAGATGAAGGTATGTCAAGTGGTGAGCTCTTGGATTTTGTTAAGGATCCCTATACTCCCATTCCAAGTGCTTCTACTAGGCTTCTGCATGTTGGCTCCTTTTGGCCCGTTCAACTTGTTTGGCTTGGCTGGATGGCTATAATTACAAGGGCCCAGCCATCACGTTTTTTCATCTGAAATGGGAACACGTGGCAGTCGATCATGGCTCTTCCTCTCCTATTCAGCATCACGCAGGCTCAAAGAGACTGCCGCATGCTGCTCATACAGGGTTTCCTTGTGAGCTCTGCCTGTTGGGCCAATCAGAATAGAAGAACTCCGTGATGTGTCTTATGCAAGCTGTGTCTAGAAAAGGGTCCCAGAAATTATGCTTCCTTAACCCTGTTCTTCAAACCCAGACTCCCTAGAAAGGAAGATAGGAAAGGATCCCAGGAACAGAAAGGGGAACCTCGTAAGTTCCCCATTCCCACCAATGGGCCAGATCTTCCCGGATCTTTCAGCTGCTTATCGCAAACAGATTTTTCCATTAGCTGATTTTTGGGAGGCTCTCAAAAAACAGAACTGGGTACCAACAAAATTTGTATACCAAAACTGGATCACCCTTCAGCCGAATTGAACAAGTCTAGCTTCTACTAACATGGGAAGTCATTTACGTCACTGCTTCTTAAACTGTGGGTCCCAACCCCAAACTGGGTCCCTTTAGTTCAATGTCAGGGTCACAAAAAATTGACAACAGTGAAGTTTCTGAACACCACCTATTTACACAAATCTGTTAACAACAACATCCAGTATTTACAGTAGAGTCTGGAAAAAAATGCTTCAGTTCTACTTCACAAAAAGGGGATCAGCCTGTTTGTTCTTCATAGTGTCTGTGAAATCGCACAAATGGGTTATTCGCGCATGCGCAGTGCAGTTCAGAACTTTCTAGATCTCTAGATTGAAACATTTTGGCAGAGGTCCTGTCCAATCTCCCCATACTGTATAAATGCTTGTGGCAGGGCTGAGCCTCAGTTCCTTTTTTCCATTGATAATAGCAGCTTAGGTCTTCTCTAGTATCACCCCATGCTTTTTCTAATGGTTCCTTAATGGCTTTGACTTCGACTGTCTAATGATGCTCTCTACATCTCCTTGACCTAATTCAGACTGTTTTACCACTACTTTCGCTTTTCTGCCAGTTCTGACCCAGACCTCCCTGATGGCGGCATCAGGCTAGTTTCTACTTTAAAAGGTCTACCACGTCCTTGGTTAAGAAAAGCAGGGTTGCGGAAACCACTCTGTCAGCGGATTCATTGAGCTCTAGGAGCCCCACATATGGATTCCGTTTGCCTGGCCCACGTTATGCTTATTATGGCTATGGCCACACCAGATACCCTCCCCCACAGGAGGAGTATGACTGCTGTATGTATTATGGCTGCTGTTGGGACTGTCACAATCATCCTGAAACAGAATTGGCACACAGGTCCAATCCATCGGTGTCGTTGTCTCCCCTGCCTCCCCCCTCCAAAGCACCCCACTCCTCCATCTACCGCAGATGGAAAATGATTGTGAGGGGGAAAAGTTTAAGAAGCTCTTATCTAAGTGATGAAAATGGGATTTTAAGCAGTCTTCCCTAAGTGCTGCCTGTTGTTTTTCACATACAGCACATATCATCCCTCACTATTGACCATGTTGGCATGACTGCTGGGAGCAGTAGTTAAAAAATATTAGGTGGGATCCCAAACTGTGAAAGACAGGCCTAAAGAATTCAGCATGACAGGAAATCCTGGAGAACAGATGTTGACATTCACATTACATGACCCTTTTCCTTCAACCACCTTCTACTGAAATCACGACTTCCATTGACTACTTGGAGTTGATTAGTCACACAGGATGGGGTAAGATTTTGATACACAGACAAGCTTGCTTTTGATTTCCGGGCCACACTTTGCAAAGGCCTGGATCATTCTTTGCTGAATTTTTATGATAATGGAACTATATCTTCCTGGCTGTATTTCTATTACCTTTCATGATTCAAACAGCCTTATGTAAAATGCCCATTTCTTCCCACCACTGATGGCCTTCCAGAAATAAAATTGCATTTGCCAATATCAAAGGACATGTTTTCATTAGGAGGAAAATATATTAAAAATAAGTTATATAACTGAATGACTCAGTGTATTCACAGCATAATATTTTATTGCAATGACAACCAGTGACAATTCTAATCAAGTGTCTCTAACATTCGACGGTAAAGAAAACAATCAAACTCAAACAGGTTTACCAGTGGAAAACAAGATGTGCACCTGTACCTTTAAGAAGATGTTTCAGAAGATCAGGTTTGCACAACAAGTAACACTTGCTGAAATTCCTCTTTCACATTATTAATTAATAATGTTACAGCCCACTCCTGTTCCTGGATTATGGACTTCTTGTCTGGATGTTCCCAGTGGGTTAGATTAGGATTAGATACCTTGTCAGCTCTCACCCCCAACATTGGGATACTACAGGGCCATGTGTTGAGTCCTCTGCTTTACACTTTGTACACATCTGAGTGTATCCCCATCCACCATAGCAATATCATTACCAAATTTGCAGATGATACA